GGTTTGGCAGAGCATGACTATGTTCGTTACAGCAAGGGAAACGGGTGCCGTCCCCAGCTGCAGGCAGTGCAGAAATTCCATCTGCTGGATCAGCAGCCCAAGGAAGACAGCGTATGGATTATGCAAACCCAGCGTTCACCAGAATGGAACTGTTGGTACCCTGTGCGCCAATGAAATCGTACTCAGTCAATCCGCGATGCTCTTATCGTAGCGAAAAAAAAATCGTACACAAAGACTGTTGATGAATCTTACTTAGAATACAACCTGTGCTGCCGCCCAGTCAGTAGTCGTTCAGACCCCCAGGAACCTTATCCATTAGCACTGACCGTCGCTACCCATCTACCAACCTGCATCCCTCATGCTCTCCTTCAGGATGGGTTGGTGTTGAGTCCATTATAGTCATATATCAAAAGCACTCTAAGCTCGGTATTTTTAATGCACATTCTTCCCAGCGGCAGTATCCACTTCAGAAGAGACCTGTATCCCTTTGTGCATGAGTGTTCCCATCATCATATAGATGGTGCGGGCGTGAAAAGAGCTGGACAGCAGTCGATGGCTCCAGCTCACAGGAATAGCACTCGATTTTGGAGAAAAAGAAACCAAACATTAGGTGTGTAGGAAATAAGCGATGTATGTAGACTGTGCGAGCTCAGAAGGCGTAAGAGGGAAAGCTCTGGCCAGTCTAAGGCTGGTGATGCGTAGCAAGGGGGGCAGGTGTTCCAATGGTAACTTGGTGGTTTACTGCTTCTGGAGATTAGCAGCAGGAAATGACAAGTGTTAAGCCTGCAAGTGAACAATAGGAAACTGCTTGCCACAATTGGCCTAAAATAAGATCCAGAGAACCAGGCGTACTTACTGGAGTTTTTGCACATTAAGTGGAATGGCTGGCTGTATAGTTAGCAGTGAAAAAGGAGAACTGAATTCTTAGAGAATGCGGTTTAAAGCCCAAATGTTAGTAATCTAGAGCAAGCGATCCCACAGCCTTAGAGCAAGATCTCAGATTAAAAAGATCAGTTGTGCGTAGACTATTTCAGTGTTTCTATGTGAGGACTATGAACAAAGTGTATTATGTGAGTTAATCACTCCAGGTCCCTGAGTGTTATATGTTTCCTCTTCTCCTTGTGCTTGGGGTCAAAGGAGAGGTTTACTGTTATGAAGGCATGAAGAGAAGGTGTTTGTAGCCTGCTCAGTAGCTCTAAGACAAAGCTGTCAGAATGAGTTGTGTCATAAATTTCACTTCTTACCATATTTTGATTAAGCTTTTCCTCACCTTGAGAGGCTCCAAGACCCAGTCAGCGCCTGGGTGATGTTTTGTCTCAATGCAGAATATCAGCGGCACGAATTAGAAGCATTTAAAATTACATTATCCCATATCACTCAGAACGCCTATTAGTATAGCTTTTTAGTTCGTATATATAATCATGCGCCCGAAGCCCAGATCCAGAAAAAAAGAAGAATGTACAGATATTAACATAGTGCAGGAATCATGGGCCTGTGAGAGTAAACAGCCTCTAAGGATATGGAAAAGAAAAGCTTTAAGATAATTCCCTGGGACCTCAACAGTGTCCTATGTTTTCAGCATAATAATCTGAGAAAAGTAGAGTAAAATAAATGGTCAGCACTGCTGCACATAGGTTTGATGTGGTGACTGCTATGCTAAATTCCATTAGCCCCTGACCGTTTATGGGCGGATAAGACAGGAGTCTGTGCTGACAGGAATAAGAAGAATCTCCGAGTCTGGAACATTGACACTTCTTATCCTCCTATCCCATCTAGCTTCCCATGCTCTGATTGTTGGACCTCCCTCCCTCTGGTTTGGTGACATAATCATTTCACTTTTATGAGTTAGACAAGCAAAAATAATATCAGTGGACCCAGACCTCAGCAAGAAGCACTTGTTGCCTTATGAGCAAAGATGTTAGGCCAGGGAAGTCCTGCGTGCGTGTGACCAGCAGGCAAGCCCAGCTGGCCTGGTGGATCATCGGGCCGCTTGCCCCAGCACTGCTTTCCTTTCTCTGCTGCACACTCGTCTCTGATGCCGACTGCTCCTAGAAAGAATTGGAGGCTGCCACTTGTGCAGATTGGCCCCTGTCCGCGAGCCCGTCCACTTATTTGGTGGCAGCTTCAAGTAGTATGATTACAATGCTAGGTTGAATGGGCCCTGTCTTCCAACGCCCACTGGATGTCTGGTAGCTGTGGAGTCCCTCTCCATGTTCTTAGTGAACACAGACGGTGGATGATGGAAGTTGCTATTATTGGTGGTTGTTTAGGCGCCGGCAGAGTCAGAACGTACTGTCTTGCCATCTTGGTAGTGCATCGCAGGTGACGTGCTGAGAACAGGTTTCTCAGCGAAGACAGCACACCACCGTTTCCGGTGCTCTCGACGCCCTGTTTGTTTGCTTACAGAGACCCAGCATGCCAGGAGGACAGCATAGCACAGACAGCCCAAATCGTGGCATTGCTTCCAATGCTAGTTCGGTCCCACTTCTGGCCCACGCTGTTAGGCTCTGCAATTTGGGTACAAGCAACTTTAACCTTTTCTAAGGCTGCTCTTGTTTCGTCACTCTATGAAAATGGGGATAACAGTGAACCTAATTCATTACTCTGGTGTGATGTTTAAAGTGAGATAAATTGTGTAACCAAGCACCTGGCTTAGCTGCGTAGATGTGTGCCAGTACTCAGAGAAGGTGTCACTAGTAGGTAGTGACCCAGTGCAGATGTACATGAGGCCAGGTACGGGTGGGATCATAATAAGAAATGAACTAGACATGGGGGTGCAGTATTTAGAGGGTGGGGGGTAGCCTCTTCGAAACTGGCTAATCGACACTAGAGTCCTAACTTGATGTGTATAAGGATGCATGTTGGTATTTAAAGGAACGGAAGATGCTGGGGGAACTTAACACAACCGGGCTTGTTTCTTTTGCAGAAAACGTGTCAACTCCCCTTCACTCCACCCTGGCACTTTGTCCCTTCCCTTTCTCGCTGTATGTTGCTTTGTGTAGTTCTTGTAAGGTAAGTTGGAAGATTATTCATATTGCGCATACTTTCTGTTGGTCGTCTATCCATGCGGAGTTTTAACTGTGAGCAGGGACCTTTGCCATCTTTCAGTTCGACGGCAGCGCAGCCTCAGAGACACGCAGTAAATACCTGGTGAATGAATGAAAGAAGGACTCAGAAGTGCTTATTCCTTGACATTGTGTCTGTCTCACAGTGCTGAAGAGACCTGTCACATCCGAGGAACTCCTGACTCCCGGGGCTCCATATGCAAGGAAGACATTCACGGTAGGCTGATGGTTTGGCTTTTTTGCTTACACACGTTAACACATCAATAGGTAGCTGTGGACTAAACTGGAAACTTTTTCCTAATTTTCCTTTTGTTTTTAGTACAATTATAAGAGTAGGCTTTCTTGACCCGAAGGCACTAAAATACATTAGGACTTGACATGGTTTATTATTAATGCAGCATTTTAAATTATTTTTGATGTGTCCTTTAAGAAAAAGATTTCCATTATGTACTAATTCTAATGTAATAACAGATTTTAAGGCAAATGGTAGTGCACATAATACCAACACTTTCTTCTGCATTACAGTTAATTCTAAAAATCATTTCAGATATTACAGGAGTCTTAAGGTAGAGAAGGAAACTACAGGGTCAGATGTTCTACTGCAGACACAGTGCTTTGACAATGTCAGCATGCCTTGAGATACACAAGCAAATGACTTGGGAGCACCGTATACCTGTGAGCAGCCCTGACCACCTGCCCCTTCTTGCAGGCACTTCAGCTCCTTTCTGCCTCCATTGATTTTCTTCAAACAGAATCAAAATGTTCTTATTGACATGATTCACTCACCTTCCCTTATCTTCTTTGTCAGTCACATCCATGTCAACACCCTCTTAAAAACACCTCTCCTGTTTCTTTTCCCCTCTAACTTTAGTGACATTAACTCAGGGGGAAAAATCTATCCGCATTCATTCAACAAAGGTCGCAAACCTTTGTCAAGAGCTACTTCACATTTGCGCACTGAGAAGTACATAGGGGAAAGGCGCTGATAATATGTCTGTATCAGGGGAAAAAGGTAAAACTGTACATGTGAACGTGAAATTAGGTGTAACAGACTAATACAGCAAACCCCAAAGTCATGCAAGGGCCTAAGAGTCTTGAGACTTTCCACAAAAATTTCTATTTGCTTCTCTGTTTTCCCTCAGTCTCTAACAGTCAAGAGATTATTGTATTTTGAAAGTATTTTATCTTTGGCTTTCAATTTAAATGCCAACATTGTTAGTCATTGATCGTGAATGTGTTTCATCTGGATTTTGGTTGGGCTATGGGCTAAAGGCTTGTCTGGGAGCTGTCCAGGGAACGTGAGTGCCAGTTCTAATAACGGCGTCTATAGGGAAGGCATGCTTTAGCTCCAAACAACTTTTGGATTAGAGTCTACTTGTACATTGTGAACTTTATGTACTTTCTCACTTTTTTTGCTTGGTGGAGAAAATTGTGTTTCAAGAAAGCCAAGATTCTTCACATTTCTCACTGTTAGTGATTTAAATTGTTAACTCTAGACTTCAATGAGGTTGCAGGATCAAGAGTGTATCATTTGGATACGGGGGGAAAAAGCACAAACTTGGAGTGGAAATTGTAGCTGGAAAGACATTTCACCCATGCTTTTAAGACCTTCTAAACCTTCTACTGGAGTCTGATATCAAATCGTATAATAGCCGAAGAAAGGGGCAATCTGCCAGTTGTTTATTGAGCAATGCCCTCCCAGAAGCATCTTCTTTCTGCCAAACAGGTTATGTTTCTTGACCACATTTTCCACAGAGTGATGCCTGTGTTTGTGATAGAAGCAAAGTGTTCCTTGGCCCTGACAAGGCAGAGATGAAATGGAGAAAGATATGTCACAGCGCACACTTAATCTTGGGCTGGTTTTCTCTCTCTTGGAAGGACAGGCAAATCGCCAGGGACTGTCTGCTGATGGCCAATTGTGGTTTTCCTCTCTAGATTGTAGGCGACGCCGTGGGCTGGGGCTTTGTGGTGCGAGGAAGTAAGCCATGCCACATCCAGGCCGTGGATCCTAGCGGCCCTGCGGCTGCGGCGGGAATGAAGGTACTAACTACCAGTCTTTTCTCATCCTATTTCTTATTCTCCATATTCATTAACCTTCATTTGGGTCTTCCTCTCTTCTAATTGGGCAAGGCCTAAATATCTCCAACCTGATTTCATTGTTTAGTGCCATCTGTTTAGTGCCATCTTTTTCTCTCTGTTTTGGTCCCATTTTTGCCAAATGTCCTTTTTCCTTTCCTAATGGGGTTGAAATGATGCCAAGAGCATGTGATGCAAGTTTTCCTACCCCTCTGCCTATACCATCTCCATACGTCCCTTGGTGTTTCACATTTCTCCCCTCAGCCAATCCTGAGTTTGAAAAAATACATGTCTCTTTTCACTTAAATCTTATATAATAACTCTGCTGTGTCTATTCTATGTGAGGCATGGTCCTGTGGGAATTATGTAGCCAGTAGCATATAGTAGACCCTAAGATATTGCAAATACGAAGAAAAAGAAATCAAAAGTCATGGAATTTGGAAGAGGAAATCTGGATTCATATATTGGTCCTGCTAATTACTAGCTCTTTGATTTTGAACGAGTTTTCAAAGAGGAGCCTATTTCTTCCTCTCTGAAGTGACAATTATACTATTTTCCTTGGCTTTTTTATGGATTAAATATGTGAAAACACTTTGATAAAGTATAAAGAGCTATACAAACATCAATTCAATATTGAATGAATATGTATGATTTTTGAGAACAATTTTTACATATTTTAGTACTAAAGTGATGCATGTACAGTCAAGAAAATATGGAAAATGCAAAAAAGCAGAAAAAAAAATTAAAATTATCCATAATCTTTCCTAACTCAGACATGACTACTATTAACACTTCTTAAGCAGTTTTATCAAAGTATAATTGACACATACTAAAGTGTAGCACTGTTATCAGTTTGATTTATATTCTTTTAGGCTTCTCATATACACATATATGTTATATACATTGTTTTTATTTATACAAAAATATGATTTCAAGGGGTGTTGATAGCATCAGTCATCTGCTTTGAAATACCTTCCCCTAGCACAGTTTTGTTCTGTTGTCTGTGAAACATTTCACAGAGGATATTTCTGTCTTGATTATTTGGGACCATGGGAGGATATAGAAGGCTTGAAAGCTAAAGATCATTCCTCTGTTCATTTATTCAATACTTTTGTACTCTCCCATCAAACCTTTTCCTAGAGCAGTAAACTAGCCCAGCTGTAGCCATGATTTGGATCTCCATTTCTCTGATTTCCAGCACGTGCCCTCTGGCATTGGTAGACATCCTGGGAAAAAAGTGGGCAACAGAAAATGGCTCAAGGGAGCAAAGAGCACCCTTACTGCCTGCCAGGGTGATCAGGTTCTGTGCTCTGGGGCAGCTACAGAGGCCTCATTGGCTAAGGCAGGCTGTGTTAGAGGCCCCTCCTGCCTTCTCAGGACTGCAGTGGGCGCAGCACCAAAGCAACTTAGAGCAGGAAAGTTGGCCAGAATCATAAAAAGCAAGCACTTGTATCCATGCCAAGGCTGAATTTTTAATTTTCTAATGGAACTCTTGGCTTGGGAAGAATTTTATATTTTATTTGCACAGTAACATACCCAGTATAAATTATTTTTGGCACAGTGCTTCAGTTCTGAGCGTGCACTCACTCGCATGAGACTTTGGCTTAAAGCACATTTCTTTGGGGGAAAGCAATGGATTTGCATCGCAGCTGAAGACCTTGTTCTGCTTAGCCAAGTGTGTGGTGCATTTAATTGATTTTAGTTTATCTTTATTGATGGGCATGCATAATCATTCTGGGCATTGTCAATTGATTAATTAACTCTTTAATTGATATGTCCTGATAGATGGGTTATCTGATATATATTTTTTCAATTTCTTAAGTTAATACTTCATATGGTTCATATTTTTAGTTTCTCAGGAGGTATACAATAGTTTTCATATGTTACAGAGCACTGCAAACTTCATTAGAGCAGTCTTTTCATAATTGTATCATACAGCTCTGTCCTGTTCTGAGGTTCTGTGATCAAAGCAGTTTTAAACTGCCACACACTTTGTCCCCTTTTTGGAAATTCACAAAGCATATTAGCATATTAAAAATTCTGGTAAATCTAGCAGGGAGAAAAAAACTTTTTAAAATTGTTTAGCATAACATTTTATCATTCAAGGGAAACATTCAAATGGAGTCTTTATTAATGTTGTTATGATATATCCCTAAAACTGTTCTGAGAAGATGCTTTTGGTCAGACTTTGCTTTGGAACGAACATAAAGTGATGCATCAATTAACAAAGGGGATACGTTCTGAGAAATGCGTTAGGCGGTTTTGTCGTTGTGTGAACATCACGGAGTGTACTTACACAAACCTTCATGGTACAGCCTACCGCACACTTAGGCTATGTGGGATAGCCTACTGCTCCTAGGCTGCAAACCTCTACAGCAGGTGGTTATACTGAATACTGTAGGCCGTTGAAGCACAATGGTAAGTATTTGTTTACCTAAACATAGAAAAAGTAATGGGTTGCACTACAATGTTAGGACAACTATGATGTCACTAGGTGATAGGAATTTTCCAGCTCCGTTATAATCTTATGGGACCAACATCCTGTATGTGATCTGTAACTGACCAAAATATTGTTATGTAGCATATGGCTGTATGAGGATGTATTTTGTTAATTGTACTGTTTGTTGGTTAAATTAAAATGATAGTGAATACCATGCCTTCCAGTATAGTTTAGCTGTGTATATTCATTAGAAATTACCTTGTACATTATTTTCTTACCTGAAACATTGAATTAATTCTTATTTTATCATCTCTGTTTGTTATAGAATAATTTTACTCCCATAAAAAGCCATTTCATAATCTAATCCTAAAGGCTTGTTTCCACTGACTTGTCATGCCACTGCTGCCCTCACCTAGGAAAACTACAGAGTTTGGGGTGTGCAGTCCTCTCAGGGGGCTTCCTTGGGGGTTGCCCTGGGGTGAGAGCCGCCTACTTGGGCACTGATTCACCTGCGTGGTCTGGGTGGCAGAAATTGTTCAGTAGTCTACCCAGATGCCTCCTTTTTGCATCTTTGACTGTTAAGAGCTGACCCTGGATGGTGTAAGTACCTGCCTGGCCTTCAGTGTTCCTTTCTGCACTGAGTGTCGGGCTCATTCCTTAGGTCAAGACTCTGGTTTTCTCCTTATTTGTAATGGGGACAAAGCTCTTCCTCTGGGCCTTTGCAACTGTTCCATCTAGTGGGATTTTTATACTTTTACTATGGCTGGTTAATGTCACTGCTTACTTACCCAAAATGGATAGATATTATCTTGTAACTAAGATTCTCAAGTTTACCATTTCACCTTTTCTTTCACCTTTTTATGGGGATGAGAAATTTTTAGGATGATATGGGCCACTGGTATGTGGACAGCACAGGCCCTGAGCTGAGTCAACAGGGTGCCATTTTCCCCCGGTTAGCACTTCTAGATCTTTCCAGACCCAAAGGAGAGCTCTTTGCCTGATTTAAATGATCCTTTGTTCCATGACTAGTGGGCACCTTCATGCCTGAGTTAAAACTTTACTTCTCTAGAAAGTCTAGAAGAACACCAGGATAAAAGTGTCATTTGGGAGAGTGGTAAGGTCTACCTAAATTCTTTTCTGGACTGGAGTAGGTAAATCTGTGACCTTTGCATCTAAGTAGCCTACCCTTAATTTCCCAGAGCTCTTCATGCCTGTGACCTCACCAGAGCTGATTCAGCTTGGTGGGAGCTGGAGCACCAGGTAGGGTGCTGGACGGGACTGCTGAGATGTACGCCAGGGAACATGCAACTATCTAGAGCGAGTAGGGTCCAACCTGACTTCAGTTGTAAGTAGAATTCAACTTTGGTGAAATATTAGACTTTTACACTATTTCAAGCTTGTTTGAAAATTTATTTTTAGCTCAAATCTGTTTGTTTTTCTCCTTTCCTTCTCTTCATGCAGTAATAGCTCATTTGTTCCCAAAGACCGGAAAGGGAACAGGTGTTATAATGGAGGCCTCAAACTGCAATATCTTTATTTTTAGCTTAGTCTAAATCAAGACCCACATAAAAAAGAGAACAATTCCTTACACCTTTTCTAATAATTTGCAGTATAATTTCATACTATTCTCTTCCTCGCCCATGCTTGGGGAACAATGACTATTACGTCATTAAAATTCTCACTTGATCCAGCATCTTTGAATTTGGAATTATTCTTATTTTGAAAGTTCTTTTACTTAAAGAATAAAATCTGTAAACCCCTGGCTTAGAGGACCTTTCTTTGGCATTACAACTCTAGTATGGAGCATGAAATATGGAATTTGTCAGAAGTTTAGTCAACCCAGGCAAGGCATTTGCATCTAGAAGTTGATTCCTGCATGTTCCCTCCACTGAATCTCCACTCAGCCTTGAAGAATTTCTTACCATTGGCTGCTGGTTCCTTCCAATGCATAGGGAAAAGTAAGGAATAAGAGTAGGAACTGTCATTTACCCAGTGTCCTCTATGTACCTAACCCTGAACCACACCACGCCCCTTCTCTGCATGAGCCCACCTAATGTGACCATCAAAATACTAATATCCTTGAGGGAGAAATAATTTCAGGAGGAAGAATTCTTTCACCTCTTTGCTACTTTGAAAAAGAAGGCAGTTCCCTCCCCAAGCTATTCTATAGGTTATAGTCTGATGAATATTACGTAAACATCGGCTTCACGTCACAACCTTTAATGATATCTTTTTGTTTTTTATCACATCAAGTCTAAACCCATTTCTGGACCATATTATCTATGATAACCTTGTGCGATGCCCTAGTAGGCTTTTTCAACTCTAGTCAGGGCAGAACTTTTACATATGGCAGATACACTGTGTCTGTCAGTTACAATGCTCTAATGGCTTCGCATTACCATGAGAACAAACTCCAGGTGTGTTCTGTGGTCTGCAGCTCCATGATCTAACCCTTTCTGATCTTAGCCTCATCTATCTGGAAGGGACAAAGAAAAGTTTTGCTTCACTAGCCTTCTCTCTGTTC